CCATAGCTGGGACCCTAACAGGTGCTACCACCCCAGGTCAGGGCAAACCTGTGAACACCAGCAATTAAGAGGTGGTTTCACGCTTCTCAAAAGCTCCTGATCAGAGACCTTGCTGTTGGACGTAGTTTATCGTCATGCCCTGGACGCGGACGTAGTTTACCGTCTTACCCAGGACCCTGATATAGTTTATAGTCATACCCAGGACACGGATGTAGTTCATCGTCATACCCAGGACGAGATCTGGGTTTGGAGATTAACTATTTGCCCATAGCTGGGACCATAAAAGGTGCTAGCACCCCGGGTCTGGTTGGAACTGGGAACACCAGCAATTAAGAGGTGATTCCACGCTCCTCAAAACCGCCTGATCAGAGGCCTTGCTTGTCATCTCTACCCAGGATACGAATGATGTTTACTTCTGGTTGAGAAATCTCCCATGGCCATCTTCAGCAACCAGAAGAATTCACTGAAGAAATTGGGTGAAAGTTTAATGAGTTGTAAGCACAAAGAAAAATATGTCAGCACACCTTGCCTCAGATCTGTTTAACTTGGTGGGTGAAAAGTTCTGGCTATCACAATTTTCAAACAAATTGGCATACGAGGAAAAGTGGGGTGGGGGGAAAGAAAGCACCAGAAATCACCGAAAAGGGCAAAAGAAATCGTCTAGTACCTTAAATTTCTGGTACAAAGAAAAAAATCAGCGAGGAATAGATTTAATACGCTAAAAAAAAAATCCTAATGAGCCAGATACTACTTACCTAGGGTTTACAACATAGGATCATCAGGGTGAACTGACTCACCCTGATGATCCCATCTGGTGAAACCTAGGTAGGTAGTATATATATATATATATATATATATATATATATATATATATATATATATATATATATAATTTGTGTGTATTCATCCTAAGATATTTATATTGCCCTCACACACTTTTTTATATTAATTTTTATATTTCCCTTTAATATTCTTTTTCTAATATATATTTGTTAATTTAATAATAATAATAATAATAATATATATATATATATATATATATATATATATATATATATACTCGACTCTCCCGTCGAATTCGACTTAGGAGGGTCAAGCAGATCAGTTCCGAGCAGAACATGAGATTTGATTATAGTGGTGAAGCTTTCGTGCAGGATCAACCACACATTTTGTAGGGCCGAATACAGGGACCTGGTGCACTACGACCCTCCTGCAGGTTTTGAAATCAGAGCTGTCCTTCTCTTAGACGAGTTGCTATCCAAGGCTATAGAACCCAGTCTGTCCTGCTATTTACCAATACATTTTCAGGATTTTTCAAACAGTCACTTCATAATAATTTTTTGAGAAAAAAAAACAGACAAGTGGAGGAAAAAAAGGAAGAAAACAGTGGAAAAATGAAGATGAAAAATAGAAAGGAAGGAAAGAAGGAAAAAAAAAACAGGAAGTGGTGTAAGTCAAGATATGAGTAGTAGTCAGAGGGGAAAGGAAGAGAGAGAGAGAAGGAAAAGAGAGAAAAAAATAACCTATTTAATACACCCAGTAGATGTCAAACAATAGATCGACCAAATGAACCTTCAGAAATTAATGAAACAAAAAATAACTGAAGAAGACCGGAGCGTACAACGGCCGAAACGTTGTAATAAATATGGCGACAAAGATGAGAACAATAGTCCGAATAATGTAAATAATGGACTTTATTTCCAAAATTGTAGAAATGCAATAAAAAATAAGCAGGCAGAACTTTTCTATTCTTTTTATTCAAATTTGTTTGGATGCAAAAATATACGTCATATTAGGGACCTCCTCCCCAAAAAAAAACGCGATACTTAAGGCTTTAGATGAATTTTAAAAAATGAAAAATTTTTCTTGATGATTTTATTTTAGTTTTAATATCAACTTAATAGATTAAATTTAATACTTGTAATAAATAAAATCCTTTTCTGCTGTATTTCAAAAACTAATTTAAATTGACTGGTCGGAGATTTATCTTTTTGTTGTTAATAAAATACCTGATTAGAAGATTTTTTTAGTCGTCTTTTATCGCAATGTAATTCTCGTTATTAAAAAAATCTTCCAAAATTAAAATACACTTTCTGAAACTTTATTTGAAGCACATTGACGAATTTAAAGTAAAATTAATCTCATGTGAAACAAATAATATTTAATTTACGTTTAAAATATCGCAGAAGTTCATTTTTTAATCCGACAGTAGCTGTTTTGACTTTTGAACAACCGGAGGCTTTATCTGTAAAAAAATAATCTAAGAAAATTATGTGAGCGCTTTTTTTTCATATATAATTTTTAAAAACTCAATAGTCTTAAAAATTTAGTAAATCCGTAATCTAATGATTTATTGAAATATTGACTTTTAATTTACTGTAGTCATCGCTTTTATTTTCGGATAATATCGTGCCTGATTGCTTGTAATTACCAAAATGGGCATGTTTATCCACATATAAAAAATTATTTTAAAAATATTAGTTTTTGTTGATTTGTATTAAGCATTTCTATTTATAATTAGTAAATATAGATTGCACATAATGTTATCTAAAATGCTGGAATTCATACAGAATTTTAAAAGATTTAAAATTTAATAAATTTTTATAATTAATATTTTAAAAAATGAAAACAATTCTTGTAAAAATACACAATTTATCGATTTTTTTTTCATAAAGCAATAGTCCACTTATTATATCTTATTTATGAAAGCAATTAAAAGTTTTTATTGCATTTTTAATTTACGATTCAGAGCAGATTTTCGGTAAATGGTGTTTCCGTTGCATAAAAACAAATTGATGTTTTAATTTCTTCAAGTTCTGCTTTTGACTAACGTAAATATGAAAAAAGGGAAATGTTAATTTCTATAAATTTCATAAAATTTTATAAGTGGGGGTAACAGATGTGAAAATAAAATATTTTTTACCAAGTTTTTCTAAAAACAACATTTTAAAAATAATTTCATTATTTTTTTGAATATGTCCTGAAAATTGATTAAAATCTGACAATTAATTAACTTTTGCAAGAATTTCTAAAACAACGTGTTTTTAAAGTAAAAATAAGACGCTAAAAATCCCGATACTTATTTTGCTTACGCAATAAAAATCAAGATTTTTAACAAAAATTTCGACGTGCGAGAACGTATCAAAAAGATTAATAAAATAATTTGGTCTTTACTCTTAATAATAACATAAACATTTTGCCGATAAAACTTTGTTTTCGTCAAGTTTGTGGGCTTTTTTGGACATGATATGCTCTTTTTTAGAAGATTTTTGTAGGTACCTAGTTTATATATATATATATATATATATATTGCCTGAAAAACCATACCAGTCAGTGAAATTGGGTAGACAGAACTTTTGAGGGCCCTCGATAGATATGCTAGCAGAAAGCCACAAGACCTCAAGGCGGAGGGCTTCAGCCTGCTGGCCTTGTTCAAATTGTTGATCACGCTAGATAACACGCTCTCTCTCATAAACTATAACTAACGTCTGCTCACTATAGTTGCAGTATAAACTGCAGGTGGGCTCTGAGCGAACATCTGCACTAGGGATCGGTTAGCCTCCTTAATAGATATTTATCCTCGGTACGAGTGGCCATCCATTATATATATATATATATATATATATATATATATATATATATGAATTTCAAGAGGATAGAATCCCGGTAGAACTCAATATCCAGGACAGAGTAAGAATATAATATAAAAGGCTCAAACACTAATATTCCATGGTTATAATTTATTACATTCGAGTCGTAATCACGATCCAATTCATCAGTCCTTCAAATTGAAAAAGAAATCAGAGGTCTGATGAATTGGATCGTGGTTACGATTCCAATATAATAAATTATAAGTATGGAATATTAGTGTTTGAGCCTTTTATATTATATATAATAAATAAATTTTATAATTATATATTATATTTTGTATAAATAAATTATTTTTATAATTATATATTATATTATATTATATTATATATATATATATATATATATATATGATCAATCCCCGATCCCATCCACGTTTTGTGTATTTTTCTTTATTAACGTGGTCATCAAGTGAAATTTGATGAAATTTTTTCTTCGGATATTCTTCACGTCTCTCTTCTTCAGTATCTGTCTATATTTCTGAGATGAGGTATTATGTACATTATTTACATTATTTGGACTATTGATCTCATCATTGTCACCATATTTATTACAACGTTTCGGCCGTTGTATGCTCCGTCCTTCTTCAGGTGGTTGGAATGTCCTCAGGGACACATGGCACAGTGGACAAAGGTGTTAGTTACATCCAGTGACAGGACCCAAAGGATATGAGTTCAATACCCGGTTAAGGCAGTGGAGAACATTCAGAGGGGATTTATCAGGAGATAACTGATAACTGACAATTCATTAAACATGGCACGTTGAACTAGAACAGTAAGCGAAATGAAGGGTCCAGTTCGATATTCCAACCACCTGAAGAAGGCCGGAGCATACAACGGCCAAAAAGTTGTAATAAATATGGCGACAAAGATGAGGACAATATTCCGAATAATGTAAATAATGTCTCCCTTCTTTCATTTTAATCTTGTTTTTCATTCTTTCCTTCACTTTTTCTCTTTTATTTGCTTTTAAGCCTTCTTCGGGGATTCTTCTTCCTCTTCATCATCATCATCAACAACATCTTCTTCATCATCATCATCATTATCATCATCTTTTTCTTCATCTTCATCATCACCTACTTCATTATCATCATCACCTCATTCTTCATCATCATCAACAACATCATCATCTACTTTATCATTATCATCATCTCCTTTTTTCTTCTTCTTCTTCTTCTTCTTCTTCTTCTTTGTTCTTCCGTTCCCGTCTCACTTTTCTCTTTTTTTCCCTTTCTTGATTATACTTCATTTTCACTGCTTTATTTTCTAACAGCTCTTATATTTTCTTAACGTATCTCGTCTTTTCCATATCGTTTTTCATTCTCTCCTTCACTTTCCACCCTTTTCATATTTATGCTTTTCCTTTTCTTTCTCACACCTTCTTCTTCTTCTTCTTCTTCTTCTTCTTCTCCTCCGCCCCTTCTTCTTCCTCTTCTTCTTCGCCTTTTCTTCTGCTTCTTCTTCTTCTTCTCTTCTTCTCCTCTTCTTCTTCTTCTTCTCTCCCTTTTTGTCTTCGTTACACCCTTTTCATCGTCTCTTCCGTCGCTTTGCCCTCTAACTCACCTTGATGACATTTTCTTTTTCTTATCCACTTCCTTCTCGTCCTCCATTTTACGTTTATTCTTCTTCCCTTTTTCTCTCTTCTTCTTTTCCTTTTTCCTTTGCCCTCTTACACTTGTTTTACAACCTTTCAATTCACCCGCTTTCATTTGCTCCTTCAATATAGCCCCTATCAAGGAATTAGGGTCTATTTGCTTTTTTGAAAGGATTTGTTATATGGATTTTGTTCAAGAAACCAATAGACGCTGTAAACATCAAAGCTACAGGCCCTTGGGGGAAAAGCACAAGCAGGTTTAGAGTGAAAGGCTGGCTTCAGGACGTTCAGAAGAGAATTTTACGATAAAATCACGATACGGACATCTGATAGTAATTCCTGACATCGTAAAACCAAGGTAACGCAACTCCATTAAAACGAAACCTACCTACCCAACCTGGTCTTTTTTTTATTTCTTTCGCAGTTTCTCGTGTATTTATGTTCCTCTCATATACAAGGTTTCCGATTTATATTCGTCTTCGTCTGTTTTTACAATTTTCTTCCAAACATCAATCTCCTCTTTTTTAATAGTTCACGTTGCTTTTTCATCAGGGCTACTGTTTACTCAGCATATGTATGTTGCCATGGTTTCCACGATACTTGGGGTGGAACTAATGCTACCCAGGTCATCGTAACCATATCAACTAACAAGGTTCGTATCGTTTTTCCAGATACCTTTCTTCTTTTTTTCGCTTTTTGTCTTTTCTTTCTTCCATTATTCTGTTTTGGTTTTTCTTTCATTTTGGTTAGTTCTTTTTATTCATTTTTTTTTCCTTTTTATTTCTTACTTTTATTCCTTTTCTTTCATTCTTTTTTTCTTCATCTTGTTACTTTCTATGTTTGCTTGTTTCTTTCTTTCCTAGTCTTTTCTTCTCTTTCACAGATGCTTTATTTTATGTCTGTAGTTCTTTTCTTTCAGACATTCTTTTTTTGTTGTCTTCTTTTAAATATTCATCCAACCATTCTCTTTTCATTTTATCATTTATCTGACTCTGTAACATACTCTCGTTTTTCCAACCATTTTTTTCTTTTTTTTACTTTTTATTTTTCTTTCTTTCTTTCTATCTATTCTTTCTTTCTTTCTTTCTTTCTTTCTTTCTTTCTTTCATTCATTCATTCTTTCTTTCTTTCTTTCAAGCATACATCCATTTTTTACTGTATTTTTTATTTTCTACAGAATTCTTTCATTCTGCTTATCTTCTTTCTGAAACAGTTCTTTCTTTCTTTCTTTCTTTCTTTCTTTCTTTCTTTCTTTCTTTCTTTCTTTCAAACATCCATCGATTCATTTTACTGTATTTTATTTTTCCTTTCATTTTCTCCAGAATTCTGTCTTTCTACTGAATTTCTTTCAGAAACAGTTCTTTTTCTCTCCTTCTTTCATTCTTTCTTCCTTCCTTTTTTCTTTCTTTCTTTCTTTCTTTCTTTCTTTCTTTCTTTCAAGAATTCCTTGATTCTTTTTACTGTATTTTCTCTTTCCTTTCATCTTATCCAGAATTCTTTCTACTTAATTTCTTTCAGAACCAGTTCTTTCTTTCTTTCTTTCTTTCGTTCTTTCTTTCGTTCTTTCTTTCTTTCGAATTCAATAATGAATATTAAGACGTTTATCAAAATTTTTTATTTCCTTCAAATTTTCTATCTTGATCAAGAAAAATGGAATCATGGAACCGTATTCAAATTCCGATCTAGTCTGTGGCATTCATTTATGCAATTATGTACTAAGAAAGGTTATGAGTTCCAGACGTAGCCAGGAGCTAAAATGATTACGTAAACTGATGCCGTGGTGCCACCGACCACATGAGAAGGCTAATTCCATATTCCAACCTGTCGATATGGCACCAGCTACAAGCTAAATGGCAACGTAAACAGGTCTCTCTACCGAGGTGGCACCAACCATATGAGAAGAATAACTCCAAATTCAAACCTGTCGATATGGCACCATCTGCGAGGTCAGTGGCAACGTAAACAGGTCTCTCTACACTACGCGGCACCAACCATAGAAGGAGGATAACTCTAAATTCAAACCTGTCGATAAGGCACCAGCTACGAGCTAAAAAGTAACGTAAACAGATCTCTCTATCCCGGGGTGGCGCCATCCATAGGAGAATGATAACTCCAAATTCAAACCTGTCGGTATGGCAGCATATGCGAGGTCAATGGTAAGGTAAACAGGTCACTCTCTCCCGGGGTGGCACCAACCATAGGCGAAGGATAACTCTAAATTCAAACGTGTCGATATGGCACCAGCTACGAGCTAAATGGTAACGTAAACAGGTCTCTCTACCGGGTGTGGCACCACCCATCGGAGAAAGATAACTCTAAATTAAAACCTATCGATATGGCACCATCTGCGAGGTCAATGGTAACGTAAACAGATCTCTCTCTCCCGGGGTGGCACCAACCATAGGAGAAGGATAACTAAATTCAAACCTGTCGATATGACACCAGCAGAGGAGCGTTCAGTTAGCAACGTCTATTTTACTGTCTTTAATGTATAATCTTCCATGTGGCTAAATCGGTTAAAGACACGTCAAGCTATATGACGGTTCCGTATAGGATACAGGTTCGATTTCTTTAGGGGGAGAATATTTTGTATGAAGATTTCTCGGACATTCAAACCCGTAAATATTATGAACAGAGCATTTACTTAAATATTTGTATCGATAAAAAGAATGTATAAACATGAAATGTCTTAAAATAATTGTCGGAATTTTCCATTTCATAATGTGCGACATATATATATATATATATATGTATATATATATGTCTATATAGCTTTCTACTTGATTGGCATTTAGGTCCCACCTTTTACTTTTGAAATATATATATATATATAAAATAGCTGGCCACTCCTATTCGAGGATACCTGTCTACTAGGGCGGCTAGTCAATCCCTATTGAAGACGCATGCTAAGGCGCATTTTTGTTTATTCAACACACCCAACTGTGGTTTATACTGCAACTCGGCTGAGCAGGCAATAATTACTGTTTCTGGGAAAGAGTGTGTTATCTACCGTGATCAACAATTGGAACAAGGCCAGCACGCTCAAGCCCTCATCCATGATGACTTGTGTCTTCGGGCTAGCACAGCTATCAGTCTAACGAATTTCACTGATAAGGCTTGGGTCAACCCGTGATATGGTTTTCAGGCACTTTCCCATATATATATATATATATATATATATATATATATATATATATATATATATATATCATTGCAAAAGTCCGTATCCAATTAGAAAAAAAAATTACATCCTCATAACAAACATTTATTTATGACATCTTCCCGAAATAGATTAACACAAATATCAAAGGTATCGGGACATTAGTTTCTTCCAATTTTCTTAAAGCTTAAATATAAAAATTTGTAATCGTTTGCTATTTGTTCATTTTACACACACACACACACACACACACACACAAAACACACACACACACACACACACACACACATATATATATATATATATATATATATATATATATATATATATATATATATAAACCGTGGGTACGTAAACAATTTCTAGGAGAGATTTTCAGGTAGAAAAAATGGCCATCTGAATGGTGCAATTTTGTGTTTCATTCTTTGTAATTCCCATATATATATATATATATATATATATATATATATATATATATATATATGAAGAAATATAGTTTTAAGGTGTGATATATAGATAGAGCCTATGAATATATATATATATATATATATATATATATATATATATATATATATATGTATAAATTGGGGGATATGAGATTGTGATCTTGGGTTTCACGCTATTGCGATCCTCAGACAAAGTGGTTTATTGTTATTATTCCGTTATTGTACTTAGATTTGTTGAATTTAAGCGCAGTACTAGACTGGCGTCGAGATCTCATCAATTTACATTTGCGCTTGCTAGATGTTGCAGTAAATTCTATGCTAACAGTTCTTTTCTCGCACTTCTCGCCTGTGGATCTCCCTTCTGTCTCCATACCTCCTAGTCAATTTAATCTTCAAATATTTAAATGCAATGTCAATCGCTGTCCTTTTTTACTCTTTCTTCTTCCTGCTCATTATTAATATTCCTGTTCCTAATTCTTCCATATCCCTTGTTTCTTAGGTATTTTAATCTTTTGTATGAAGGATTCCTATATATATATATATATATATATATATATATATATATATATATATATATATATATAAAATCATCCAGTGTGGCTAGACACGCGATTGTTTAAGCTGGGATCGAAACCCGACCAAATTGTTATCAGTCGGCAACTCTTACCCTTAGGCTCATGCTATGGAGAAGGGGAATTTTAACGCATTATATACGTGATATAAGCGTTATAAGCTAACAGAGTGTTCTGTTCATTTCGAACAGCTTAGCATTATAGCTGCAGCAGCTGTCAAATTCCCTTTCTTCCAAAGTGCTCAACCCACGAAGGGGAGCGTATATAGTCATCTACAGACAGACTGTTCCGTTGTATCACAGCTCTTTAGTGTAGCTAGACACGCGATTGCTTCAAGACGAAATCGAAACAGTTAATACAAATATGAAATCTGTTACCTAGCTGATTGATTTTATCTTCAGCCTCTTGACTCCGGAGTTTCATAGACGGAACCTCAAGAAATCACTCCGTTCACTCGTCAGGGGATATCAGCAATTGACTGTTTATATTTATGAGTAAAAGTGCTCAATATCAAAGATAGACCCTGTGTAAGAATAAAAGTGGACCTCAGTCAACACCTAACGGCGACAGTTTGTTTCATGCTTCAACATAGTCTTAAGGAATTGGAACTCCGTTCTCCTGTTAACAATTCCGAGCCATTATCCATTACACCAACTGCACATCCAAGCTTACAGCACCTGATATTCCCAAGCGGTCACCTATCTAGGTACTGATCCGACACGACGTTGCTTAACTTCGTTGATCGTACGGGAATCTGTGTTTCAACGTGATATGGTCGTAAGACAAATAGAAAGATTAAGGTTGCAAACATTACTTAGAATTACAAAGAATAGGTGGTTGTGGAGAGTCATGATCTAAACCAGTGCAGTTCATAAAAAAGAATCAGACTAAAAACTTTATCTTCAGCTTAACAGTTTTGAAATCATCACATGTGATGACTCATCGACAAGAGAAATATCGACCAGGCAATTGAGTGATTGTGTTTCTGCTTTGTGTTCGATACTTCGTTAAAATTGGAATTCAAATTGCTTATCTCTCATTCTGACGTGTTATCGAACGACTTGTTTGGCTTATTTGAATTATAGCGAAGAAAAAAAAAACCGGTAATTATATCATTTTTAAATATTTTTTTTTTCAGTTAAACGCGTGTTTTCAAATTGTTTCAAATACAAATTCGATTTTGAAGCAAGTGCTGCAAGCAGTTATAGATTTCGAAGATACGTGTGAATATCGATATCATCGATCTGAAAAGTCGCCACTCTCTGCACCGACCGATAAGAAAGAAAGGAGTGAAAAACAGCACGTAACAGAGAAAAAAAACAGAAGAATTTATTTAAATAAAAACAGAGAGACATATTTTACAAGTCTGGCAAAAGGAATATCATGTTAAGGAAAATAGCATCGTCAAATTTATCGGGGATGACTAAGAAATTAGTACATGTTCTATAGAACCGTGCTTGTCAAACTATCTCATATGGCGAGCTGGCAGTTTTTTTTTTTTTAAAGATATATCTTATTTCAGTGTCATTTTAAGACTATCTTAACTAAACAGAAGCACATGATGTCTTATTCATTCTTAGGTCAGTCATTATTGACATTTACAATACCTGCACAGAGATATTTAAATGCAAATCATTTAATCATTGTAATGTAATGATCACTATTAACAAAAAAGAAGTCATTTAGTCAGGCCACCCGTACGTTGACTGTAGAACAAAAAAAAATCTGTCTATATCTCTGAGATGAGGTATTATGTAACCTACTTACATTATTCAGACTATTGTCTTCATCTTTGTCGCCATATTTATTACAAAGTTTCGGCCGTTGTACGCTCCGACCTTCTTCAGGTGGTTGGAAATATCGAACTGAACCCTTTATTTCGCTCACTGGGGTAGACTGTTCTAGTTTCACGCGCCATCTTTAATTGATGTCATTTATCAGTTATTTCCTATTAATTTCCCTCTGAAAGTTCTCCACTGCCTTAACTGGGTATTGAACTCACATTTCGCTCACTGGTATAGACTTTTCTAGTCACGCGTGCCATGTTTTTAATGGATGTCAGTTATCAGTTATCTCCTGTTAATTCCCCTTTCCAGGTTCCCGACTGCCTTAACCGCGTATTGAACTCACGTTCTTTGGCTCTTGTCACTGGATGTAGCCAACGCCGTGGAGAAATTGGAGAGGGGAATTAACAGGAGATAACTGATAACTGACATCGTTTAAAAACATGGCACGTGGAACTAGAACAGTCTACCCCAGTGAGCAAAAGAAAGGGTTCAGTTCGACATTCTAACCACCTGAAGAAGGTCGGAGCGTACAACAGCCGAAACGTTGTAATAAATATGGCGACAAAGATGAGGACAATAGTCCGAATAGTGTAAATAGTGTAGGGTGATTAATGAGTTCAAAGTCGCTGTCATGTACAGGAAACATTGAAAGCAATAACTTATTCATCGGAGCATTGTTCTGATGAAACAAGTCCCTTTTCGTCAGTTTTTCTGGGCTTTTGGTATTGATAACCTTTTGTCAATTGATTTAGCACTTCGACATAGTTCCCTTCTTTGATGGTGTTGTCTTTTTGAAGATAATGAATAAATACAATGCCTTTTGCATCTCGGCAAAAAAAACTCAGACCATCTCCTTCCCTGCAGATGAAAAGGCCTCACCTTTTTTAGGATCAGGTGCAGAAGGATGTTTCCACTGCATTGTCTCTGGCGGAAAATGCTGAATATAATTCTCACCTTGGGTTAGGAAAACGTTCAGATTTTAATGTGATGTGATCACCCTGTTGGGCTTTGGATCGGGTGTCAGAAGACATGGCATCCTCCGAGTGGAAACCTTTCGTCATACCAAATTTCAATCTTCTAAACTCTTTCACGGGAAATGCTAATAACATTGGCTGTTTCATTTACAGTCAATATCCTGTCATCAACATGTGGCGAAAATGATCAATGTTTTCCCCGGTGATATCAGTTGCAGGCCGTTCAGACCAAGGATCATATTTAAGACTCTCCCCTCCCCCGAAATTCTGCTTCCACTTTTGCACATTTGCTAAAACTTGGTCTTCACTATGTCAGTATGAATGTCCTTGGAGGATATACCTTGTTTCGCGGGTACTTGATAATATCACGATGCCAATTTTTGTCTATTTTCAAGAGAAGTCACTGTTCGTTGCAATTGAAGTCTTCATTGAACAGTCAGATGTCAGTTTACCTGGAATGAAACAATGGAGTTATTAATAAGAAAAGTTGAAATTAATGCATGTAACATTTCACAGCTCTAGTCTTCCTTCTTAGTCAACCGATGGACTTTTCAACTCAACTTCCGTACATTTGAAGTCTTATTTGAACACTCAGACATCAGTTTAGAAACAATGCAGTTATTAATAAGAATAGTTGACGCCTTAGTAAACTGTCTGCTTTCTCTTTTAATTAACTTCTATTTCTAAAACAAGAATATATTTAACTAATACAAAACAAAATAATAACCCAATATCTGGGACGGAATCTTGTTTTATCAACTCTGCTAAATGTTATAAGAAATGCTTAAAAGAAACTTCTTAAATAACTTAAATAAAACAATACACACATACGGAAAAACACAAGAGTGGTTGGTTTTGGTTTTGGTTTTGGTTTTGGTTTGGTTTGGTTTGGTTTGGTTTGGTTTGGTTTGGTTTGGTTTCGGCATATCAATCTCAATGGATTATTTAATGGCAACAAAATTTTTATTGTTGGTAATATTTTTTCCTTCAAAAATTCTATTTCTGTCAATATTCTTTCTACAAACCTAATTCTCGTAATATTTTTTCTTCAAACACGCATCGCTGGTGATATTTTTTTTCAAAAATGTATTTCTGGCAATAATTCTTTCTTCAAAAATTTATTGCTAATATTAATATTTTTCGAAGTATGTCTTTTTTTCACAGAAATGTATTGCTGGTAATATATTTTTTTTAAAAAGTATTTCTGTTATTAAAACTTATTTTTACACTTTTATAGTGTTTTGACCTCAGTTTTGGGGTTTACTATTTACCCATAGGTGGGACCCTAACGGGTGATACCACTCCGCATCAGGGTGAATCTGGGAACACCAGCAACTAAGAGGTGCTTTCACGGTCCTCAAAATCTCCTGATCAGTGGCCTTGTTGTTGGAGGTAGTTTAACGTCTTACCCAGGATGCGGATGTAGTTCATCGTCATACCCAGGACGTGGAAGTAGTTTACCGTCATACCCATGACGCAGACGTAGTTTATCGTCTCACCCAGGACGCGGGCGTAGTTTATCGTCTCACCCAGGACGCGGACGTAGTTTATCATCTCACCCAGGATGCAGATATAGTTTATCGTCTTATCCAGGAGGCGGACGTAGTTTATCGTCATACCCAGGATGCGGATGTAGTTTATCGTCCTACCCATGACGCGGACTTAGTTTATCGTCTGACGCAGGACGAAGACGTAGTTTATCGTCTTGCCCAGGACGCGGTTGTAGTTTATCATCTTATCCAGGAAGTGACGCAGTTTATCGTCTTACCCAGGACGCGGATGTAGTTTATCGTCTTACCCAGGACGCGGATGTAGTTTATCGTCTTACCCAGGACGCGAAAGTAGTTTATCGTCTTACCGAGGAGACGGACGTAGTTTATTGTCTTACCCAGGACGCGGATGTAGTTTATCGTCTTACCCAGGACGCGAAAGTAGTTTATCGTCATACCCAGGACGCGGATGTAGTTTATCGTCTTACCCAGGACGGGCCCAAGTGGGATATTTTACAAAACACATTCATTGCTTTCTTCTTTCATGGTAGTGAATCTGACCACAATTTCGAATTAAAAAATGCACATTTCTTTTTATTTATATTCAATATCAGTTGTACGTATTGCTTAGTTTCGGCGGGCACATTCACTTATCATCCTACCTCTGTCTGATTTTCCCTATTTCATTAATTATTCGAACTTCTAACCCGATTTTTTATATTCATTTCTGTACTTTGCAAATGATATGATCGCCATCTTTGTTTTTTATACCGCAGTTCACCCACTGGAGAGTCAAGCAAGGTAGAATGCTACTGTAAAAATGGTTACAATGAATGGGAGACAATGATAAAAATGTTTGTGGTAGAAAGTGAGCATTATGAAGATATATGGTTTATATAACGGCTGACCCTTGACTTGAAGACAGTAGGATTGTAGTGTCCACGCCGGAGCCTGTTCGAGAATGTAGTATTTTTGTTTGTTTTTAGTCATATCACCCCAAGTAAAACAGTAAAGCCACTTACATACAAGGGGTTACTAAGTTTGAAAGAATAAGCAAAATAAAAAAAAATATTAAGGAGCGAGAACTATAGAAGAATATTCTGGAAAACAGTTAACTGTTAGATAGGAATAAAGTGTCGCTGCCTACACTTCAGTTTGAACATAGATCGCCAGTGAGTAAACACGGGCGATCCCATTATGAATCAACAGATCATGTGATGGCAAAGAAATGTATACGTGGAATTAGCGCGACATCTAAATGATCATTCTTTCTGTTCTATCCTCTGTTGCTATAATGACTACTCTTTCTACACTCTCCCCTATTTCTATACTATTCGCTAAACTATTTCGCTACACTGGTCACTATAAGGATTACTATACTGTAGCTGCTATTCAAGTGAGTATTACCCAGCAAGTACTATTAGTGCAAGTGCTATTCGAAGGCGTCTGACACAAGTATTGTTCAACGGCGTTACTATAGTTGTATCTGCGATTACAAAGTCTCTACTACAGCGAGCATTACGAAAGTGA